AAAAACATTGCACTAAAGATCATCAGTTGACACTAAAACTAGTATGTGAAACTTGAGAATTAATAGGATATTTGCATACTCTCAAAATATCTCCTCACAATCATTTACCTATTCCAGAAAGAAAACTAGTAACCTGACATTGAAGGAAGTTGGCAGACACCCCCTTATTCAAGAGGATAAATTCACCATCCACAAGAATGGGACACAGGTATCATGTGTCTCCTGATATAATGTACTGAGAAGGACACAGCATCACTTCAGTGGTATTCCTGTCAAACATGCATAGCTTAAATCTACATGGAAAGAACACCAAAGAAACCTGTATTGAGGGATACTCTACAAATAATCTGCTCTGGGAAAATGTTAACAAAAGATGGAGGGACTGCTTAAAGGAGTTCAGATAGACATTATAACTAAATGTAATGTGTGACTCTGAACTGGAATATGAATGAATAATGGTGTTTGCAGCTTATTCTTGAATGACTTGGAAAACTAATAGTCATATGTGCAGAAGGAGAGACCGATAAAGCAAATGATGCAGATGTCGTTAACAAGGGTGAATCTGAATGAAGGGCAACAGAGGGTTCTTTGTTCTATCCTTGCAACTATTTTTTTTATAATTTTCAAGTTACTCACAATAAAAGATTTTATAAAAAGTCATGGACTGCACAGTATTCCTCATAAAATTATCCATGTAAAAACTTTCATTTTCTTGGGGGAAATCAGACTTTTCCTTGGTACTAAATGCCAACAGGCTTCCTTTCAACAACAATGAAAAGTGTATAACCCACTTCTTTCCATTTTTGCCTTGACAGCTAGGAAGCCATTCCATGCTGCAAGGATGTATCAACTTGGACAAGTTACTTAACCTGTCTAAATCTCAAATTTTCTTTATTTATGAAACAGGTACTGCTGTGGAAGGTGGTGATAAAGAGATAAAGTACTCAACAAAATACGTGATGTGTTGTAAGCACCCAGTTTAGTTGTCTTCTTTTATTATTGTTATTTTTATATTATCAGTCATTCACTCAACCCTCCCTACTAAAATGAGCTTGCAGCACACTCATCTGAAATCAGGAAAACTTAGAGCTTGCAAGGGAGGTGACTTTTTCCATGTGTACATTATCAATACACCAGAAGTTCTGAGGTCTTACCATCAGACAGTTCATGTGCCCTCAAAACATGGTGTCAGGAACTATGGAGACAGTAGGAAAGGCAATAGCATTAGGATCAGAAAGTCTGAGATTCAAATTCCAGCCCTGCCAACTCACTGGCTTTGGAACTATTTGCTTCAGGAAGCGCTGGGCTATGGTGCAGTAACTAACATCCCCAAGACTCAGGGGCTTACAACAATGTCTTGCTCACACTACAAGCCCACTACAAATCGGTCGGAGACTCTGCTCCCCAATATTCTCCCTCCAGAGCCAAGACTGATGGAGTTGCCGCCACCTGAAATGCCATCACCTACCTGGGCAGTGGGAGAGGATGAGGCACTCACATTTTATTGGCTCCAGCAAATTCCAAAGGAGGTACAATCCTACCTTGTGCCATGGAACTCAACAAAAAAAACTTGGTGAACCTCACTCGTGATCGACACAGTCCTCTTGGACAACTGATTCTGAGAGTCGGTTTCCTTTTCCTTGAAGAAGAAGAATATCTGACATCTCAAGACAATTGTGAAGATTGAAAGAGATAAATTAGAAGAAGCACTAATTTGGGTCAGAAACATAATAGTTGCTCATTATAATAAATTATACCATTTGCCTTCAATGTCCAGGCGTTCCAAAGGAACAATACTGTTTTCCGTGTGGATCTAAATAAATAGAGAGATATAGATGGATGGATGGATGGATAGATAGATGGATAGTTAATAGATTTCCAGTGATTACATTTTAGGAAAAGATAAGAGCCAAGAAGACTACATGGTAAAAAACAGAGACAATCTGTCTCAGGGGCAGAGAGTAAAGACTCTTCAAGTTTTTCTTTTTCTTCGCTTGGTCCTATTGGGTTCTAGGAACCATCTGGTCTGCAAGTGGTCTCCAGACAGAATTGCACTGATGCAAAATTTTTCTTTACTCAGAATCTCTGTGCCAAGCTGTGTGTAAAGCACTGCAAGTCTCAGACCCGTGAGAGCTTTAAGGGCTTGGAGGAGGATGGTATACATGTAAATAAACTCATGTACAAGAGCTGACAAAGGGTAAGGGCAGAAGGAAGGGGTCTGCACCAGCTTCAGGGGACTACACGGAAGACCTGGGGCAGCGGATAGGAGAAACCAAAGCCTGACCCCCTGTCTGCAGCATTGGAGGTGGCATCTCCAAGCCACTGGGCAGGCCATTGCCACCGAGTCAAAGGTCTCAGCATCAGCCCGAGGCCAGGTTCTAAGTGTAGCTTCCAGGAACCTTCGCCAGGGAACTTCCATTGTGCCGCCCACATTCAGCTTGGGCTCCTACCAAGCTAACAGGCTAGCTGTACACAGCACCTCCCTGTGGTGTGGAGGATTTTACCTTTCCTGACTCATCTCAATTGCTAAATTTTTCTCCAGTTAATATATAATTACCGTTCCTCATAATTTTTTTTGAAGTTTTAAAAAACACCTTGGTAGACCATGGATGTATTTAAACCAGTGTTTCATAAACTTCAGTCATCTCTCAACCACATCCACAGTTTTTGTTCTGTATACTATTTAATTAGTATTTAAAATTCACTCCCCCACCACACACACAATAATCCTCTGAATTTTTAAAATTCACTTAACCTCTTTAGGCTTCATTTTATGCAGTAGCATATATAAAATAATAGGTCTACTGTGCTGATTATATTTTTACTACAACACATCAATGCAAATATATAAGGACTGAAAAATTTTAAGTCATCCTCAATGGAATGGGTATCAAGCATTTTAAAAAATAACACTGCCTGGGCCACGAATAATGAGCAGGGTGCTGCACGGTAAAAGAGCATATGAAGCTATATAATAAATGAGTTTTGCAACTTTGGAAAAATTATAGAATCTCTCTGGGATTGGGTTTCCTCCTCTGCAAAGTGATTAAACAATAGTCCGTCGCTTTTAAAGTAGTATGAGGATGAAATGAAATGATCTGTTGAGCAGTCTAGGCAAAATGCAACGAGAGATTGAAGGAGAACAAAACATCTTCCAGCTGGGAGATTTAGGTGCGTTTCATGGAAGAGGTGCCTTTTGAACCAGACAATGATGAGGAGGAAAGGTGTGAGTGTGCAGCGTTGTAGGGAGGGTGTTTCAGAAGGAAGGAAAGAGCTTCAGCAAAAGCTCAGAGGCAGAAACAGGCACAGGCCCCTCGTCCTCTAGACCTCCTCCTCCCTTGCAAACAGCTTTTTTTTTCTGCCATCCTCCATATTGGTGTGCTTCCCTCGAGGCTCAGACAGGAAAGAATCTGCCTGCACGGAGAAGGGAACGGCAACCCACTCCAGTATTCTTGCCTGGAAAATCTCACAGACAGATGAACCTGGTGGGCTACAGTCTACGGCATTGCAGAGTCGTACACAGCTTAGCAACTGAACAACACACAATCAGGCAGACTGTGATTGGGGGAAATAGTTCTTGATGGAAATGTGACATAAAACGAAGAGTGAAGTGACCAAGCAATATGGAATACAGAGTTTTGTAAGAAATTAACATTTGTGTATAGAATAATAGTTGCAAATATTCAGACAATAAAGTCCATGGCAAAAGAAAAAAAAAAAGAATCTGCCTGCAATGCAGGAAACCTGGGTTCGTTCCCTGAGTCAGGAAGATGCCCTGGAGAAGGAAATGGCAACCCACTCCAGTATCCTTGCCTGGGAAATCCCGTGGATTGGTGAACGACTTCCATTGGGGTATTCTGATCTGGACCCCCAACATTCTCCTGCATCTTTAAGCTATCCCATGGATCCACTCCTGCTTACCACTCTACCCTGCCCAGCCTGGCATTTTTCCAATTCTGGTCATTCTTGGTCCCCTTGGGGGCCCCGAATGCAGGAATCAGGAGCTGTGAAGGGCTAGCTGAGACTGGAAAAGGAAGCGAGCCTCCTCCTTGGATCCCTGTATAAATACAGGATCACCATCTTCCCAAACCTGTCTGGGGAAACAGGGATCAGACTCTCTCTGTGAAGCCCTTTGGGGGAAGAAGCAAGAGGAGCGATGGGGGTGCACAGAGGCCAAGCTCTCCACCATGCTCTGTGCTGCCTGCCCCCTAGAGGTGACAATCTCCCCCAGGGCAAGGTGGGAAGAGCCCCTGACCTCCACGTTTTTGAGGATTTTCTGCGCTGGAGAGGAATTGGAACAGCTGAATACTCAGAGACCTTTTGCCTCTAAGACTTTGTTTCTGAAAATTCCCTTTAAAAAGCAACAGAAAATCTTCTACCCCTGCCACCTGGTCTCCTGGGAACATCTGGCTAAGTCAGCTCGAGTGTCTATTCTGAGCCTCTCTTGGCTGCTTCTAGGACACCAGAGCCAGAAAGGGCTTCCAAGACTATTCTCTCCAAACTCATGGAGGTCTGGGACATGGGGTTTTTTGGTAGGTTTTTGTCCCCAGACCCCAGCATGGAACTGGGAACCTGGTGGACTCTAAGCCCACATCTGCCGAACTACAGACAGAACTGAAATCCACTGATGAGCAAGACCCAGCAAGAGCCGGTGACCTGCCTCCATCACCTGGCACGGAAGAGCCAGATCCTGGCCAGGACCACCACCCTGTCCCCCATCCCTCCAAACTGCTTTCTTCCAGGCGACAATCCCATCCACACACTTCACATGTGTGGAGGCTGCAAAAAAAAAATACATGCCAAGCTCAGAAATGAGCAATGCCTTATAAGAGACGGTATTTCTTCCTGAGCCCAGCCAAGGGCTGCCGGAGTCTAGGCTGGGCAGACAAAGGGCACCGCCATCGTGCCTCTGGTGGAACACTTGTATGGGTCCCCAGCTCTGGGCGGGAGGCCTCAGAAAGAAGCCCCAGACAAAGAACACACATCAAATGCTGCACACGTGTTCCGAGGGGAGAAAATTCTTGGTATTTCATTTGAGGGGCCTGGAGCCGAGAAGGGAATTTTCAGTCCCAGCATCTTCTGAGGGTCACAATGTCTGTCTTTTGGTTTTTGATCTAAAAAAGAAAAAAGACGGGAAGAAAGGAAGGGAGAGGAAGAGGGGGGGAAAGAAAGGAGAAAGCCTCCCCACCATAATTGAATTACTGGGCTGGCCTCTGGGGCTGACGCTGGAATCCAAGACGCCTTTGTGCAGTGTCTGGAGGGACCCGGGACAGCGGCAGGGATTTCAAAGGGGAAGAGGAAGAGATGGGGCGGGCCAGGAAGCTAATCGAGATGGAATGGGCCAAGGAAGGGAAGGGGGAGTGGCAGAAATTGAAAGCTGAAGGCCCGCCTGGCTCCAGGCCCTGCCCTGACCCGGGTTGGCCACCCGGGCAGAGGCTGGGGCAGAAGGCAGGCTGCATAAACAGAAAGGTCCCAGCAGGGACCAAGGCTCCCCCCAGGGGCCATGGCTGACCCGGGCGAGGATGGAAGGAATTAACACTCAGGGCACTTCCTGTGTGCCGGGCTCCATGCTAGGACCTGGGAGCATACCGGTGGCACAGGCTGAGCGCTCCTCATGGGCTGGGCTCCTTTCAATGCGCTGCTGCAGTGAAATCCTCAGAACGACACGCTGAGGCAGGTACTTCCAGGTCCCCTGAAACCAGAAAAGGCCAGAAAGTCGAGCCATTTGCCTGGAGTCACGCAGTGAGTGGCAGAGCTGGGACACCACACTCTGGTTACTGGGACGCCACAGCCAGGATCTTAAGCAAGACTCTCATCATCTCATTTCATCCTTACAACAGCCTCTTCGGGAAGCCGCAGCTCCTAGCAAGGCAAACTGAGCCAGAGAAAGACTAAAGAAATTTGTCAAAGCTCAGACAGGCAGAAAGGGCTGAATGGGACTTGAATCTGCATGTACAGGGCTTCCCAGCCCTGTATCTCACCTGCTAGGGTGGAGCATCCTCCCCGCAGCCCAGGTCCCAACCTTATAAGCATCTTCTCTTGGCTCCCTAACCAGCCAGACAGCAGGCAGCAGAAAGGACATGGCAGAAACCACCTGCCGACATGAGAAGTGGTTCATTGTGGCCAGCCAGGCCCTTTGGTGGTTGTTGATATTGTTCAGTCAGTAAGAGGTGTCCGACTCTTTGTGACCTCATGGGCTGCAGAGCTGGTGAGGCTATATAATCATCTCATCCTCTCTTGTCCCCTTCTCCTCCCACCTCCAATCTTCCCCAGCATCAGGGTGTTCTCCAGTGAGTCAGCTTTTTGCATCAGGTGGCCAAAGTTTTGGAGCTTCCGCTTCTGCATCAGTCCTTCCAATGAACGTTCAGGGCTGATTTACTTTAGGACTGACTGGTTTGATCTCCCTGCTGTCCAAGGGCCCCTTGGGTGTCATGCTGAAGGCCTTGAATGTTCACTGAATTCTCACAGACACAGCCCTACCCCATCCCAGGGGATTGCCATCACCTTCAGGCCCAGTATTGTATCGTTGAAACAAAAAGGTAGAGTTTTATCTTGTAAATAAAACATGCTAGTCACTATTACGTCATCTGAAAGTAATGATTCTCCAGTCTTTCGTACATCGCACTACCAACCCCATGTGGAGCGGGTTTCTCAGCCTCTGCACTATGAACACTTGGGGCTGGATAAGGGTTCATTGCAGGGGACTGTCCTGTGCCCTGGAGGTTGTGTAGCAGCATCTCCAAGTGGCTCAGTGGTAAAGAATCTGCCTGCAATGCAGGAGATGTGGGCTCTATCCCTGGGTTGGGAAGATATCCTGGAGGAGGAAGAGGCAACCCACTCCAGGATGCTTGCCTGGGAAATCCCATGGACAGAGGAGCATGGTGGGCTATAGTCCATGGGGGTGGAAAAAGAGTCGGACAGAACGTAGCGACTCAAACAAAACGAAACTGACTTCACCTATTAGATGCCAGTAGTACCATCCCCACCCTCTCCCCAGCCAGTTATAAAAATCAAAAGTGCCTCCAGACATTACCAGAAGTCCCCGGGGTGGGCAGGAGGAGGAGAACATTGCCTGGCCTGAGCCAGGTCTGAAGGGCAGGCCTGTGGGCACAGTGATACCAGTGACCTCGTGACTATCCTAGTGGCATCATTGGAAGATGGTTTCCCATCTCATCTGTCCCTCCACTGAGCTCCTGGCATCTACCAAGCACTGCTCAAGGCACTGGGAATTCAGCAGTGAGAAAAGCATTGATAGTCTAGTGAGGAAAACAGAAGAAAAAGCAAGCAAGGGGCAAGTCGTGTTGGAGAGACAGCAGTGGCCCCGGAACCGGCGTTGAGCTGAGCGGCCCCCTCAGCCAGTGGGTGGCTCCCTGCAGGGGCTTGTCCCAGGAGACATGCCAGGCATGGGGACGGGCCAGCCAGCCAGCCAGCCCCAGCTCTGCCCTCAGTGAGCTGACAATTGCTCGTGGTCCAGTGAGGGACAGACGTGTGTCCCTGCCAGGCCCGGCTCCGCTTCCCAGAGAAAGAAAACAAAGCGGCCTCAGCCCCATCCTTCAGGATCACTGCTGGTGGCTATTTTAAGTCCTCGTAATCACTTGAAGTGACTAACACTGATTAAGGTTTTACGAGAAATGAGAAAATTCCTCCCCAGCCCCTCCACCATGGCTCCAAACCACCTCAGAGCCACTTTATTAACTCGCCCAGCCTGGAACCAGGCTCGTCTGGCACGATGTGGATTTATTTTTCCACTGGGTCACGGCCCCGTGCTGGCTTCTCTCTAACAACCAGCCTGCCGGCTTCACCATCACAGACACGCCCATCCCTGGGAACCAGCTCCTTCCACTGAACCAAGATGGCTGTGACCTTCTTGGCTTTGAGGCATAAGGACCACCTGGGTGTCCAGGTGAGCACAGCTGGCCAGACATCCTTGCTTGTCATGTACACGCACTGGTCCATCCAACAGAGGTGACGAGCCTCCCTCCCTGCTACTTCCTACCACTGGCACACACTTCCGTCCACATTCCTGCTTCTCACCCCACTCTGGCCCCCCAACACACATATACTTGTTTCATGAACAAACTCACTGCTACTGCTACTGCTAAGTCACTTCAGTCGTGTCTGACTCTGTGCAACCCCATAGATGGCAGCCCACCAGGCTCCCCCATCCCTGGGCTTCTTCAGGCAAGAACACCAGAGTGGGTTGCCATTTCCCTCTCCAAAGCATGAAAGTGAAAAGTGAAAGTGAAGTCGCTCAGTCGTGTCCGACTCTTCGCGACCCCATGGACTGCAGCCTACCAGGCTCCTCCATCCATGGGATTCTCCAGGCAAGAGTACTGGAGTGGGGTGCCACTGCCTTCTCCAAAAACTCACTAGTAGTCCTTAAAGGTAGATTTGTGTACCAATCTCGACAAAACAAAGATGAATTATGCACCAGACGTGGGACTATAGACACTATGATCGTGTTACAAGATAAAATCTGGTTCAGTAGCTACATCATGTCCGACTCTTTGTGACTCCATGGGGGCTTCCCTGTCCTTCACTGTCTCCCAGAGTTTGCTCAAACTCATGTCCATTGAGTCAGTAATTCCATCTAACCATCTTATCCTCTGTCGCATCCTTCTCTTGCCCTCAATCTTTACCAGCGTTAGGGTCTTGGTAAAAAAAAAAAAAAAAAAAGGATGTGAAACAATGGTGTATAAAATGTGCACTTTGGTGTAGAAAATCAGTAACTTAGTTCAATGATGAAATCACAGAAGGCTCCAGGGAAGAAGTGGCTTTGAACTGAGGATGAAGGATGGGGAAGCATCTCACAGGTGGAGACGATGGTTTCAGTTTATTAAGAACCTGCTGTGTGTCAGGTATTGTACTAGCCATGCTGATGCATCCTACCATTTTGTTCTTATAATGGCATATTAAGGAGACATTATCCCTGTCCCCATTTTAGATTAGGGAAAGCTGAGGCTTAGAGAGCTTAAATAGCTGACCCAAGTCACATGGACTCAAGGGGGATACGGGGATGCAGCACAGTTATCTTGGACACTGTCCTACACCAGGTGGAGAAAAGGGAAGGGCTTCCAAAAACCCATTCTTCTCATCTCGTCCCTATTCTGCTTTCAGGGGAATCAGGTTGGCAGCTTGAAATCAGCCATGGTGGGAGTATTTGCACCACAGAAATTGGCAAATGCTACAAATCAGGGCTTTTTAACTTTATTTCTTCCAGACAGTTGGTTGACCAGCACATCACTTGCAAAAGAAGTGACATGAGAGAAACAAGAAACAAGTTGGAACAGAGGGTTCTAAGGGAAAAGACAACATGGGGTCAAGCAAAGAAGCTTGGACTTTAGCCTAAAAGGCACTGGAGAGCCACAGAAATGCACTGAGCAGGGGAGGGATGTGGTCTGATTTGTGCTTTCTAAGGATCACTCTGTGGATGGATGAAGCGGTGGGCTCCTGAGACAGAAGGCTGGTTAGGAGACATATCCATTTCCTAAGGCATTAGGGCTCCTATAACTCCTCTCCCTGACACGAAAGGTTGCCAGTTCAGAGNTATAGATGTCGCCATTTAGACCAATAGTGTCTTGTCCCCTGGAGTTTGCTGGGCACGCGTGGTGCCAGGGACCAGCAGTGGAGTACAGTTTGGCCTATATAAAGTTTAAAAAAAAGTTTCTTGTGTTGCTTTTGTTAAGGAGAGAGAAATAAATAAGGCCTGGAAGCTGTCCATAGCCAGAGCAAGACTCCCCTTTCAAACCCTCCGCCTGTGCCTTTGGGCTTTCCAGATGGTTCAGTGGCGAAGAATCCGCCTGCAATGCAGGAGACTTGGGTTCTATCCCTGGGTTGAGAAGATCCCCTGGAGGAGGAAATGGTAACTCACTCCAGCATTCTTGCCTGAAAAATCCTGTGGACAGAGGAGCCTGGTGGGCTACAGTCCATGGGGTTGCTGAGAGTCAGACATGATAGTTTACAGCACAGCCTTTGCCTGTAAGTTATCCCTGCAGGGAAAATCCAGCTCAACCAACTGATTCTGAGCAAAGTACACAAGGTCTGGGTGAGACCCAATCAACGTACTTGGCAAGGTTTATTCAGTAAATGAAGGAACACATTGAACAAATGAGCTGGTGTCAAAATGTAGGTTTGGATCTGGGGTTCTATGAACCACTTTGTCGAAGATGCAGTTTACATTGTCGATTGTTTGGAAAGGTTTAAACTTCTTTTTCTGCTTTACTTTCTCTCCAAGAATGTCCATGACCAGGCTGGAACTCTGGGGGGCTTGGTAATGTGGTACACAGGGCCCCAAGCAGAGTTGTTCTTCATTTTGCAGTTATTCTGTGCTTCCTCCATCTACCTGTTTCCTTCTTTTGCCGTTACCAGAAAGAGTTAGGTCTTGGGGAAGAGGGATCAATTGTTACTATTATTATTTTTTAATGAGAACAACCAAATGTGATCAGTATCACCTAAGCTTGAGAAACAGATCTCTCTTCTCCCTAAGAAAGAAGTGTGTGTGTGTGTGTGTGTGTGTGTGTGTGAGGAGCTAATTGTAGACCCCAAGAGTCCACCTAATTGGGGACTTAAGAAATCATATCAGTGCCTTTGTGGTACATTAGACTGTCCCTTGATGGTCCCAGCTTACAGTGGTTGCTGTGAGCAGGTGAGGCATAATTGTTAGAACTGGAAAATTACTGTCTAATGGAGAGCATTTCAGAGACAAGCCGATGAGTCATGGGTGGTAGATCAAGTCATGACTTGATCACATGTCCTGGGCTGCTCCAGTGGGCTCCATTCTTGTTGTTAAGGGTGTATACATAGAGACTCCTGTGTGTTGGGCACCGTGTTTTACTTTGTTAGAAGTGAGGGTCTCCGGGGTATGTGCTCACACCCACACATCTCTCAGTTACCTTTATTAACTGGAGGATAGTCATGGATTATCAGGGGCTCGACAGAACTCAGCCAGCCACTGCTTCTGCTGCATGGTAGTGTCAAAAATAATTAAGTCTCTGCGAAAGTCTCCTTTCCTCCCTGGGGCCACTGCACCTGACTACAGCAATAGCAGCAATGCCCACAACACATACACACACACACACACACACACACACACACACACACCCCATAATCTGATTGGTTTTTCTT